TTCAAAGTTTGGCTTATAAAGAAATACAAAAATACCTGTGCAGTCGGAATCGAGCAGTCCCGTGGAAGCTCGATGTGCATGCGGCAGCGATGACAGTATCCTGAAATAGTAAAAGATTGAAATATATTTGCTAGTTGAAAATTGTTTCGAGAATGCATACCACAAATAGACCGCCAAATTTATTGATAAAAGTAGCAAGAATTCTTACCATCGAGTGCATGCGCTCTCGTTTTGACCACATGCAGCTTCCACGCCCGAATTGATGCGAACGCTTCTGTGCGCATCAATGGGCATCTTGCGAGATTGCAGTCTGCAAATAAATGAAATTGTCCACGTGAATCATAAATGAAATTGTCCACGTGAAAGTTTCGTTCTTATAAATATTAGTTTCCTTTCAACCTTATGATCACAATTAAAATATACTTACGGATCAGTCCATCTCGCACCACATAAGGATCTTCGAGAGGCGCACGCAGCTCCGTCTCCAACCCTGGGTAATTCTCAGGGTTCGCTGCCTCAAAATTTGGGATTGTGCGCCTCAGTGGAACGGGGTCAACTCGTACGCCACTTGACCCTCGTCTGCGCCTGAAGTACTGATTGAGATACTAAACGTCTAATCATTCCATGGAAAACATATTAAGTAGTAAATTAGATATCAGAAAAACTCATTAGATATCAGAAAAACTCACAACTTCGCGCAATAGTCCGGGATCAGTTCGACCATACAAGGACGCTTACGCCGACGGCATCCCACAAGCATTTCATCCTTAAATAACATGAAGGATAAGCTTTGTGTAAATCTTGACATTTATCCCCAAAAATTATTTCTAAGAATAAGGTATATTTCAAAAATCTGTACCTTGGGGACTGCCGTTTGACACGAGTCGCCGTCGATGCTCATCGATTGCATCATTGACGGCGAGAAAACCGTCCGTGTTTGGGCCTGAAAATATCATTAAAGAACGTAATAGAGGTACTTTTCGCTTTCCGTCAATATATTTCACTTCAGAAACCATGAAGAAATGATAAGACTTATTAGTTAAATGCGATAAATGCTTCAGTACCTTTTGTCGGGTTGAGGCACTCCGCTGCGAGCTGGAGGTTGCGAGTGTCATCTGCAACCCACTCGGTCCAGCTCTGTCCTGCAAAATTCACTTAATTAAAATTACTAATGTCGCAACTATGACTTCTTGCAGTTGATAAATTTTATAAAACTTGATGCTTCAAACTTTTACAGCCATATTTGAAGAGAACATACCCAGCTGCTGTCGTTTGACTCGGGCAGTGGCGTCGCAGCTGCGAGGGCCCAAACTGAAAAGAAAAAGTTTGCATTCTTCCGTTTGTTAATAAAGGATAAAAGGAGTAACTGTAAAGTTTATTTTCTGTTTCTAGCAAAAAAAGTACGAAATAATGAAAACTTACTGGTTTGGTCGAACCCCTCTGGACCAGATTTGCTGCCGTGTGTGGAGCATTCAGTTGGGTCAGCTCCTGTCAGCCACTGAAATTCAATCATTTCAGTTTCAATGATGAAGAATGATAGAACACTTTGTGATATTTATCATTTACGTGATCAACAATATTCGATATTGTTCTCCGTATTTTGTAATTGTTGTTCAGAAGTGATAAAATTCACTCACCGGCTTGCACTGCCCGGTCACCACGGGGGCAAAGTAGTCGCCGATGCACACCATCTCAAGCAGCGTGCCATCGACGCCAAACACAGAGGCTGTGTTTGGCCCAAAAACATTCCGAGTGCGGTTTTCCGCGTCATGTAAAATGACGCGAACGGATGCCGCATGGCACGCTGCCTCAAGGTGCATACGGCAGTAGGGGCCACTCCGGACCGACTCCACTGCAAGATAAAATGTTTAAAAACTGGTTATCGCCCAATCAGAAACAAGAAATCATTAATTTGAAAAAATTGAACCGAAATGCAAACAATGACAAAAAAACCTACAGTAAAATTGGAGACCACGTTCCGCGTCATCAAATCTTCTTAGGGACTCCCAACAGTCCCTAAGTGCGCTTGTGGCCATAGTCCGGAGTGCGCTGGCCTCCAGGCCTAACAACTCTGCGAGAGCATCGAACAAGGTGATGCCCTCGCGCAGGACTGGCTTCACCCCTAGTCCTGCAGCCGAGCAGTATGCTCGGATCTTTTCTGAAATTCAAATTTTTTATTGAACTTCTAGCTATTACAGCATTGGAAACTTTCAAAAATCCCATCATTTTCTTTGACAATCATTCATCATAAAATAGTCACTTATAATCAAAAATAATCATTCAAATCTTACCAGCAATTACGCTGAAGACAGCGTATAAAGCCATCGCCTCACAAAACATCGCGACGTATCTGAAAATATTTCTATTACCAAAAACTAGTAAAATAAGCTAATTGTTTACTACTAATAATTTTGCAAATCGGAATCCTATAGTCTGGCACCCATCAGAACAAAATTGAGAAGTCGACCCATTCTAGAATTTTCCCATACTCTTTCCTTGGTAATTTATAAGTATCAATGGCAGAAGACAAGTAGATCAGAAACTTTTCTCGACATATATGCTCTAAATGATCTACTTTTGACATTACTTTGGCCATCGTTTATCCTTCTTCGATCCAACTATCGTTTGGCAATTTGAAACTATCAGTGCCAGAAGACAGGTAGATCAGAAACTT